TGTAATCCCAGCACTTTGGGAGGCTGAGGTGGGTGGGGATCACGAGGTCGAGAGATCGAGACCATCCTGGTCAACATGGTGAAACCCCGTCTCTACTAAAGATACAAAAAATTAGCTGGGCATGGTGGCACGTGCCTATAATCCCAGCTACTCAGGAGGCTGAGGCAGGAGAATTGCCTGAGCCCAGGAGGCGGAGGTTGCGGTGAGCCGAGATCACGCCATTGCACTCCAACCTGGGTAACAAGAGCGAAACTCCGTCTCAAAAAAAAAAAAAAAAAAAAAAAAAAGAACTAACACTATTTCTTCTCAAACTTTTTCAGTTGAAGAGGAGGGAATACTTCTGAATTCACTCAATGAGGCTAGAATTACACCGATAATAAAACTAAAAAAGATACCACAAGAAAAGTACATACCAGTATCCCTAATGAACATGAACACACCGGAAAAATCTTCAAGAAAATACTAGCAAATCAAATTCAGCAGCATAATAAAAGGATTATACATCATGACCAAAGCGGGATATATTCCTGGAATGCAAGGATGGTTCAACATATGAAAGTCAGTTACCTAATATACTGTTTTAACAAAATGAGGACAAAACCACATGGTCAACTCCACTGATGCATAAAAAGCATTTGACAAAATTCAACACCCTTTCATGGTATTGAAAACACTCAACAAAATGGGAATAGAAACTACCCCAACATAATAAGAGCCATATATGAAAATAAATTAACAGTCATACATAAGGGTAAAAAGCTGAAAGCTTTTCCTCTAAGATCAGAAACAAGGCATAATGGATGCTTTTGTCACTTCGACCCAGTGCTGGAAATTTTAGCCAGAGTCATTAGGCAAGGGAAAGAAATAAGAGGCATCAACATTGGGAAGGAAGAGGTAGAAGTATCTCTGTTTGCAGATGACATGATCTTATATGTAGAAAACCCTGAAGATTCCACAAAAATTTGTTTGAACTAATACATGAAACTGGCATAGTAGCAGCGTACAAAGTCAATGCACTAAAATCAGTTGCATTTTTAAACAACAATGAATAATATGTAAAAGAAATTCAGAGGAAAATTCCACTTAAAATAGCATTAAAAAGAATAACCACGGAGGTGAAAGACTCATACAATGAAACATATTGCTGAAAGAAATTAAAGACATAGATAAATAGAAACACATTCTATGTTGAGAGATTGGAAGACTTAATATTGTGTGTGTGTTTGTTTTTTGGAGACAGGGTCTTGCCTTATCACCTAGGTGGAAGTGCAGTGGCACAATCACAGCTCACTGCAGCCTCAATCTCCTAGGCTCAAGTGATCCTCCTACCTCAGTCTCCCAAGTAGCTAGGACTACAGGCATGTACCACTATGCCTGGCTATTTTTTCTTTTCTTTTTTTAATTTTTTTATTTTTATTTTTTACTTTAATCCCTGGAAAATTAAAGCAATTAAAGCTTTTTTAAAAAGTTTGTAGAGGTGAGGTCTCACTATGTTGCTCAGGCCAGTCTCAAACTCCTGGACTCAAGTGATCCTCCTGCCTTGGCCTCCCAAAATGGTGGGATTACAGGTATCAGCCACCCTGTCTAGCCTGACAATATTGTTAAGCTGTCCATACCACCCAAAGTAATTCATAAATTAATTCAGTACAATTGCTATTGTACTCTCAAGGCCATTTTTTTTTTTTTTTTGCTTTGGGAGTTTTAGAATATAAAAACTTAATCTAAAATTCATATGAGATCCCAAGAGACCCTGAAAAGCCCCAGCAAACCTGGAAAAGAAAAGAATATAAAAGAATATAAAAACTTACTCTAAAATTCATATGAGATCCCAAAAGACCCTGAAAAGCCCCAGCAAACCTGGCGATCCCACAATTCCTGAACTTAAAACTTACTAGAAAAACTGCAGTCATTAAAAGTGTGTTGGACTTGGCTGTGGTATGAAGGAATAATAATAAAGAAACAGCATGATACATAAAAATAGACATATAGACCAATGAAATAAATAGAGAACTGAGAAACCCTCTTACATAGTTAAGTCTTGAACTCCTGACCTCAAGTGATTCACCTGCATTGGCCTCCCAAAGTGCTGGGATTACAGGCATGAGCCACTGCACCTGACCCAGTCAAGTGATTTTTCATAAGGATGTAAAGATTGTTCCACAGGGAAAGGACAGTCTTTTCAACAAATGGTACTGGGGAAACTGGATATTCACATGCAAAAGAATGAAGTTGGACCCTTATCTAATACTACATTCAAAAATTAACTCAAAATGGCCAGGCCTGGTGGCTCACACCTGTAATCCCAGCACTTTGGGTGGCCGAGGCAGGTGGATCACTTGAGGCCAGGAGTTCGAGACCAGCTTGGCCAACATGGGGAAACCCCATCTCTACTAAAAATACAAAAACTTAGCTGGATGTGGTAGTGCAATCCTGTAATCTTAGCTACTTGGGAGGCCGAGGCACAAGAATCATTGAACCCAGGGGGCGGAGGTAGCAGTGAGCCAAAATCGTGTCACTGCACTCTAGCCTGGGCAAAAGAGGGAGACCCTGTTTCAAAAAAAAAAAAAAAAAAAAAATTAACTCAAAATGATTAAAGACCTAAATGTAAGAACTAAAACTATGAAACTTTTAGAAGAAAACACAAGACAAAAGTATCACAACATTGGATTTGACAGTGATTTATTGGATGTGACATCAAAGGCACAGCAACATGGGAAAATAGACAAACTGCACTTCATGAAAATTTAAACATTTTTGTACATCAAAAACACTACCAACAGTAAAAAGATAACTCACTGAATGGGAGAAAATATTTGCAAATCACATATCTGATAAGGGATTAATATTCAGGATATATTGGGAACTCTTAAAACTCAACAGTGAGGCCAGGTGCAGTGGCTCATGCCTATAATCCCAGCACTTTAGGAGGCTGAGGAAGGTGGATCACTTGAGGCCTAGATCAGCTTAGCCAACATGGTGAAACCCCGTCTCTATTAAAAATACAAAAATTATCCAGGCATGGTGGCACACACCTGTAATCCCAGCTGATTGGGAGGCTGAGGCACAAGAATTGCTTGAACCTGGCAGGCAGAGGTTGCAGGGAGCCAAGATTGTGCCATTGTACTCACTCTCACCTGGGTAACAGAGCGAGACTCCATCTCAAAAAAAAAACAAACCCAATTCAAAAATGGGTAAACGACTGGAATATCTGTTTCTTCACGGTAGGTAAACAAATGGCTAATAAGCACGTGAAAAGATAAACATCACTAATTATTAGGGCAATGCAAGTCAAAACTACACCTCACACCCATTAGGATGGCCACTGTCAAAAAAACGAGATAACAAGCGTTGGTGAGGATGTGAGAAATTGGAACCCTGGTGCATCCTTCGTAGGAATGTAAGATAATGTAGCCACTACTAGAAAACATGGTGGTTGTTCAGAAAATTAAAAATAGAATTGCCATATGATACCAAAATTCAGTCCTGGGTAGGGTATGTACCTAAGATAATTGAAAGCAATATATCTCAAAGAAATGTTTGTACACCCGTATTCATAGAATCCTTATTCACAGTAGTTAAAATGGGGAAGCAACTCAAGTGTGTCCATCAGTGGATGAATGGATAAACAAAATGTAGTGTATGCATATAAGACTGTTACTATCTTAAAAAGGTACATGATACAACATGGATGAACCTTGAAGATACTGTGTTGAGGAAATAAGCCAGTCAGAAACCAGACAAATGCTGTTTGCTTCCATTTATAGGAAGTACTTAGAGTAGTCCAAATCATGGTAAAAGGAATTTAAGGAGATTGAAAAACAAAGAGTAGTCAAAATCATAAAGACAGAAAGTAGAATGGTGGTTGCCAGGGGCTGGGGGCAGGGATGAATGGGAAATTATTGTTTAATAGGTACAGTTTCAGTTTTACAAGATTAAATAGTCCTGGAGATGGATGCTGGTGATGATTACATAGCATTATGAATGTATTGAATACCACTGAAATGTATACTTAAAAAAGGAATCATGGTAATTTTATGTTATATGTATTTTAACATTAAAATATTGGGGGATGAGAGCAGCACACAGTTGCTCACGCCTATAATCCCAGCACTTTGGGAGGCCGAGGCAGAAGGATCCCTTCTGTCCAGACCAAGATCAGCCTGGGCAATATAGTGACACCTTGTCTCTAGAAAAAAATTTAAAAATTAGGCCGGGTGCAGTGGTTCATGCCTATAATCCCCGCACTTTGGGAGGCCGAGGCGGGTGGATCACTAGGTCAAGAGATTAAGACCATTCTGGTCAACATGGTGAAACCCTGTCTCTACTAAAAAAATCCTCCATCTCAAAAATAAAAAATAAAAAAATAAAAATTAGCTGGGTGTGGGGCACACATCTGTAGTCCCAGCTATTCGAAAGGCTGAGGTAGGAGGATTGCTTGAGGCTGGGAGGTTGAGGCTGAAGTGAACTGTGATTTCACCACTGCACTACTGCATAGGTATATTTGGCTTTGGTTTTGGTTTCTGTTGTTGTTTGTTTTGTTTTGAGATGGAATCTAGCTCTGTCGCCCAGGTTGGAGTGCAGTGGCACAATATTGGCTCACTACAACCTATGCCTCCTGGGTTCAAGCCATTCTTTCTGCCTCAGCCTCCTAAATAGCCGGAATTACAGGCATGCGCCTCCACATCTGGCTAATTTTTGTATTTTTAGTAGAGATGGGTTTTCACCATGTTGGCCAGGCTGGTCTCAAACTCCTGACCTCAGGTGATCCAGCCGCCTCGGCCTCTCAAAGTGCTGGGATTATAGGCGTGAGCCACCGTACCCAGCCCTGTTTTTATTTTAACAGATGTAACTGTCTTTCTGATTCATATACCTTTTCAATCAAGAATATGTATGGGCTGCAGCCTGATGAAGTTATTCACTCCTTTGGTCATGTCTTTGTTTTACATTTTTGAAGCCTACATAGTTACAGATTCGTTTGTTTTCAATGTTTTGTCTTGTAGGGGAAGATGGAATCTATCACTGTGGTGAAGCTGCTGAGCTGCTTTGATGACCTGGTGGCAGCAGGCACAGCCTCTGGCAGGGTTGCAATTTTTCAACTTGTCTCTTCATTGCCAGGGAGAAATAAACAGGTGAGCACTAATGATCTTTGCATTGTTAACTTCTTGGCAAATTCTCATGGGTCTTTAAAATGAGAAATCCTCATCTGCTTAGCAAATTTATGCTCAGAGAAGCTTACCACTGTGCTGTTTATAATTGCATAACGTTTCTGTTCTGGGTTGGACACTTGGCATAAAGTACATGTGGGTCATTTCATTTTTGCTTAATATTCTCGTGGTGAGCTCTCTGTGGGTTTTGAACATGACTAGACAGATGGAACCTTGTGCAGGGTTCTGCTTGGAAAACGAGATTAGGAAACCAGCTCTTCTGTAACTTGGAGCAATTGCAGACCTTGTCCATGTAGCCCCAGCTCACAGCATTTATCCTTTTCTTTTTTGTGTGTACATTTTTATCCCTTATTCATAGCTTCGGAGATTTGATGTCACTGGTATTCACAAAAATAGCATTACAGCTCTGGCTTGGAGCCCCAATGGAATGAAATTGTTCTCTGGAGATGACAAAGGCAAAATTGTTTATTCTTCTCTGGATCTAGACCAGGTAAAATTATTTTCAGAAATACTGTTGGCTCTTGCCTTCTTATGTTTGGAAAAACTATATTTATAATTGTATTTTTAGTCAGTTTGTATTCTTGATCACCATCCCTTTATAATCTCAATTGTTATTTATGACATTTACTTTTTATAGCTATATTTTATAAGCTTCCACTTCTGTGACGAAGGAGTTGACCTAGCAGAACATTCGCTTTTTTCATTCCGCTGTTGTGTATTACTTCTGCTTAGAAAAGAAGCTGTTATCATTCCTACTTCCTGGAAAGGTTAGTAAGAATGACGCCAGACACTTCGGAATCCTAACTGTGGACAAGTCAGTGACTTCGATGGATGGAGGACTCACTGCCAGCCACCTGGGCTGTGTGAGAGGACCTCATGTGACAGGAAGTGACAGAGGAGGTTAGGTGGCAGTATGGCGAAAATGAAGAAATAGGAGCTCCAGGAGTGCTAGTTCCTAGAAACAGGAACTAGCCCAGGGGTGCAGGCTTGCAGCTCACAGGCTTGCTTTCAGACCAAGGCTCTGCTTCCACGCCCATGCCTTTGACAGTCTGCTGGGTCTTGTTTTGTTGTGTGTCTGCAACCAAACTGAATTACTTGGTGGCACAGTCCTTTGTTTCTCATTTGTAGCCTTCATTCCTAGAGCACTGTGGGAATTCAGCAGTTATTAGCTGAGAGACTTTCAGTCCCTCTGATCCTAGGTGGACCTAGTACAAATATTCTCTAGTAGTAGTTCTCAAGCTTTGTAGTCACAAGACCCCTACACTCTTAGAAAGAGGACCTCAAAGCATTTTTGCTTATATGGGTTAAATCTACCAAGTACACCGTGTTAGAAGTTAAAACTTAGTGAGATAATAAATCCACAATATGTGAACATAAATGATATATTTTGTGAAGATACTTCTATTTTCTTTTTTTTTTTTTTTTTTTTTTTTTTTTTGAGACGGAGTTTCACTCTTGTTACCCAGGCTGGAGTGCAATGGCGCGATCTCGGCTCACCGCAACCTCCACCTCCTCGATTCAGGCAATTCTCCTGCCTCAGCCTCCTGAGTAGCTGGGATTATAGGCACGCGCCACCATGCCCAGCTAATTTTTTGTATTTTTAGTAGAGACGGGGTTTCACCATGTTGACCAGGTTGGTCTCGATCTCTCGACCTTGTGATCCACCCGCCTCGGCCTCCCAAAGTGCTGGGATTACAGGCTTGAGCCACCGCGCCCGGCCTGATACTTCTATTTTCAAAACAGGTGAGAAGAGTGAGTGGCCTTGGTTTATATTTTTACAAATCTCTTTATTATCCAGCTTAACAGAAGATGGCTGGATTCTGCATTCAATCTGTCGCCATACATAGTTTCGATTGAAGTATATAAAGAAAATCTGGCCCTACACAAACTTGTAGCTGGAAATGTGAGGAATATTTTGATAGCCTTTTCAGATAATTGTAGACATTCTTTAATAATATCCTCATATTGACAAATGGTAGTTGGTTTAAACGTTATAATTACAAATAACAAATGATAGTTTCTCTAAAGGTTAGTAAAAATATGGAATCTGAGACCACATGGGTGAATTTTTTTCTACTCTGTTATATTAAAATCTACTTTACCTATGCTGGATTTTGTAGCATTATGTGTTGGTCACTTAGAAAATACTGTTCACAGAGTGATACAGATCTTCCAAATGTTGACACTTTTTCTGAGACATGGTCTCACACCACTCAGCCAGATTGGTGTACAATAGTGTAATCACGGCTCACTGCAGCCTTGACTTCCCAGGTTCAGGTGATTCTCCCACATGAACCTCCCAAGTGGCTGGGACTACAGGTGCACTCCACTATGCCCGGCTGATTTTTTGTATTTTTTATAGAGACAGGGTTTTACTATGTTGCTTAGGCTAGTCTTGAACATCTGGGTTCAAGCCATCTGCCCACCTCAGCCCTCCAAAGTTCTGGGATTACAGGTGTGAGCCACTGTGCCAGCTGATACATTTTCTAATACAATGTCAAAAAAGTACCTTTGTTAACATAAACATCATTGTAATCAGGAAAGTCTCTAGCTATTGGGAATCATGTCAAGTTCACAGGGAGATACAGGTCTTCAGATTGCTAATCTTCACATGAGAGCAGCAAATATCGTTGCTTGTTTTCCTTGAAGTGACAGGCTTTTGTTTTGTTTTGTTTTGTTTTTTCCTCCCAGAAAATGTCTGCTAAATACCCAAGTTTGAATAATTACAGCATTTCAAATAAAAATGGTGTTTTGTGAAAAAAGCAGCTGGCTCAGCTCCCAGCTGCAGTAGTTGCACAAGTGCTTTTCCTTGAGAGAACCACTGGGTGTATTTCAATGTCCAGCAGAAGGGAGAATACAAAAGTACCTATGCTCCGGCCAGGCATGGTGGCTCATACCTGTAATCCCAGCACGTTGAGAGGCCAAGACAGGAGGATCACTTGAGCCCAGAAGTCCGAGACCAGCCTGGGCAACATGGCAAAACCCCGTTTCTTTCTTTTTTCTTTTTTTTAGATGGAGTCTCACTCTGTTGCCCAGGCTGGAGAGCGGTGGTGCAATCTCGGCTCACTGCAACCTCCACCTCTGGGGTACAAGAGATTCTCCTCTACATTTTGATTATGTTGGGTTATTTGAGATGTTGATTATTATTTATGGAGGTGTGTTTTGTGGAGTTTGATTAGTAATCGATGAATGAAATACATTTTTATATACTAGAGTATAGTGAATTTGAGTGGGTTTGGGGGGTTGTTAGTTGTTTTAAGCGGGTGATTGTAGCTAACCACAACTTTTTTTTTTTTATTTATTTAGTATAGATTTAATAACAGAGTTTTAAGTTAACATGCTTGTGGATACTTAACATGATTAAAAGTGGTTTTATGAATGACAAAAGGTTGTGGGTTTGGGGCTTATAATAAACACTATTAATTGGTAATTTTTTTTTTACTTTTTTTGAGTAAATTTTTTTTTACTTTTTAAAAAAATTTATTTTGATTTTGGCGGTGGTTAAATAACTACAAATTTGTCAAAATTCATATAATTGTATACCTTAAAAAGGATGAAATTTAGTGTATGTAAGTTTTACCAACAAATCTTATCACTGCTCCCTGCTTCTCTCCACAAAATGTCAGTGATGTTATAGCAATATTTCTGAAATAATTGATGAAACGGGACTGAGCACAGTGGCTCATGCCTGTAATCCCAGCACTTTGGAAGGCCAAGGCGGGCAGATTGCCTGAGGTCAGGAGTTCAAGACCATCCTGGCCAACATAGAGAAACCCTGACTCTACTAAAATACAAAAAATTAGCTGGGTGCAGTGGTGAGCACCTGTGTTCCCAGCTACTCAGGAGGCCAAGGCAGGAGAATTACTTGAACCTGGGAGGCGGAGGTTGCGGTGAGCTGAGATCGCGCCACTGTACTTCAGCCTGGCCATAAAGTAAGACTCCATCTCAAAAAAAAAAAAAAAAAATTTGTAGAGACAGGATCTCACAGTGTTATGCAGGCTAGTCTTATAAAGTATCACTTTATATTAGTATCATTTTATGTATTTAATAACATTTAATTTCTTCTAACCTCCTGTTTTCTATGACCCTTTCCATTGGTGTAATGTATTTCAGTTGGCATAATGTCCTCAAAACTGCTTTGAACCCTTTGTGAGGGGAGACTGTAATATGAACTTATAGAGCTGATCATGTTCACAATAATTTTTTAGAAAGTTCCATTCCATCTTTCTGTAATAGAATAAGTAGTAGACACAGTGCAGCATATTTCTGTTTAGATCTTTATGGATTCTTCTTGGAACTCCACATGTTTACTGCATCATCCCTGAGCCAGCTACAGTGCATACTAAAGAGTGTATCTACTGAGAACATGTTTTTTAAAATTATGCAAATTTTAAAATGTTTCTTGTCAAAGTGGAGGTAGCATGAGAGAGATGTTAGTATGGACTATTTTCCTGTCAGTCAGATCATCTCACTGCGGTGGGGCTGAGGCTGAATCTACAGAGAGTGAAAGCATATGTGGTAAGATATGTGCTAAGCACTGCTTGCAGGAATGACACTGATATGTCCTAGGGGAGGTTCGTTCTTTAGCCTGGTGCTGATGTGAGGTGTGACCGGACTTTCTCTGCCAGGGGCTCTGTAACTCCCAGCTGGTGTTGGAGGAGCCGTCTTCCATTGTGCAGCTGGATTACAGCCAGAAGGTGCTGCTCGTCTCTACTCTGCAAAGAAGTCTGCTCTTTTACACTGAAGAAAAGTCTGTAAGGCAAATTGGAACACAACCAAGGAAAAGGTAAGTTTCACAAGTTTTCCAGTTTGGCCTCAATGCTGGGCCTTGTTGTAGAAGGTGCTTTTAGGGTTTTCTATTTGATGAATGCAAGCCCACAGTGGCTCCAAGCCTGAGGTTCCTGGTGGGGCCCTGTGCCTGCCTAGGATTCCTCCTCCCAGAGGCAGACAAGAGTAGCGGTTCCTCTTGTCACAGAGCTGCAGGAGCCTGCACACACAGCCACTTTGCCTTGCAGGGTGCCACAGTCAGCCTGGAAAAGCCTCAGGAGTGGCCTGGTCTGTCTGTTCCTTGTGTAGGCTCCTTCTCCACCCAGCTCTGGTGAGGAGTCAGGGTCGTGGGGCTCGTTATTCAGCACCTGTCTACCATGAGCCCCTGTGCACTGTGGCAGGCTCAGCAGTGATGTGAACGTGGCAGATCTGAGCCCTCTGTTGTGGAAATGGAAATGCAGATAGAACACTTGTTGATGGTTGTATCAGCTGCTATGGACCAAAATGGCCTGGGAGACATGGTGAGATTGGCAGGCATTGATGAGGCCCCGAGGCTGGTGGTGTCCTAGAGAGTTGGGCGAGGCAGACAGGTGGAGCCAGCCTCTGTGGTCATAGCCACAGTCCGTTATTGTATGTTCTGGGCTTTGCAGCAACACAAAAGTTGATCGTCTTTTGGTATATGGACACAGGATGCTGTGTGAGTTTAGACACACTTTTGTCCAGCTGAAGGGTCAAGGAAGACATCCTGAAGGCATGGCTTCCAGGTTGAGAGATCGTTCCTCCTTTGACTGGTGATGTGGAGGAAGGGAGTGAGAAGTCCACTTGCCACAGCAGCTGCGTGGGAAAAGGCAGCTGGAACACCTGGGGGACCTGTAATTCATCATCCCCACTCTAGCCCATAAAACACGCTTGTAGGACTCTGCAGCAAGTTTGCGTGGGGATGGGGTGAGGAGGGGTAGGCAGAGTGGTGGAGCTGACCCCTCCTTATGCTGAGGAGGAGCAGCACTGGGGCCATCGTGGGGGTGGGTAGCAGAGGGCGGCATCAGCACAGATCATGAGTCGATGAGTCTGCAGTCATGGGTTGCCGATTGGCCGATGGCAGCTGGAGGAGTTCCAATCTGTGTCTCCCAGGAAAGGGCACTGTTTGCCTACATAGAATGGGGGCAGTGTAGCTGATGGTCACCGAACATGGGGAGGGTTTGTGGCTGGCCTTGTGGAAAGCAACAGCAGGGACTGGGAGACATGGTGAGATTGGCAAACGTCGATGAGGCCCTGAGGCTGGTGCCATTGGTGACAGGCCGTCCTGGAGAGTTGGATGAGGCAGACAGGTGGAGCCAGCCTCTGCGGTCGCAGTCACCGTCCGTTATTCCAGTTCTGGGCTTTGCAGCAACACAAAAGTTGATTGTCTTTCCCACGTGGCAGCCCTGCAGCTATTAAAAGACACTCTCATCCCTCCCCTTTGACTTCTGTTTTCCATGCTGAACACCTTCTTAATCCCATCAACAATCTGGCCTTTTGTATCTGCAGCTTCACGACTGGCCCCTGGAGAACTCAGTGGAATTTATGGTCCTCCAGATCTTAGTTCTGACATTCCCTCTGCCAATATCCTGTGCCTCTGGCATTTTATCCTGGTTCATCTGTCAATGTCTTACTGCACTGTGTCTTTTTGGAAGGAAGGCAGGGTGTAAAGAGAGGGATTGAGAACCGATTACCTTTCAGGTGGGTCCTATTCCCAACAACCCTCTCTTAAAATCTGGCCCTTGGCTGGACGCAGTGGCTCATGCCTGTAATTCCAACGCTTTGGGAGGCTGAGGCAGGCAGATCACTTGTGGTCAGGAGTTCGAGACTGGCCTGACCAACATGGTGAAAACTTGTCTCTATTAAAAACACAAAAATAGCTGGGCGCGGTGGCTCAAGCCTGTAATCCCAGCACTTTGGGAGGCTGAGGCGGTTGGGTCACGAGGTCGAGAGATCGAGACCATCCTGGTCAACATAGTGAAATCCCATCTCTGCTAAAAATACAAAAAATTAGCTGGGCATGGTGGCGCGTGCCTGTAATCCCAGCTACTCAGGAGGCTGAGACAGGAGAATTGCCTGAGCCCAGGAGGCGGAGGTTGCGGTGAGCCAAGATCGTGCCATTGCACTCCAGCCTGGGTAACAAGAGCGAAACTCCATCTCAAAAAAAAAAAAAAAAACACACACACACACACAAATAGCCAGGCACAGTGTCTTACGCCTGTAATCCCAGCACTTTGGGAGGCCGAGGCAGGTGATCACCTGAGGTCAGGAGTTTTAAGACCAGCCTGACCAACATGGAGAAGTCCTGTCTCTACTAAAAATACAAAAATTAGCCAGGCGTGGTGGCAGGTGGCTGTAATCCTAGCTACTCAGGAGGCTGAGGCAGGAAAATCGCTTGAACCCAGGAAATGGAGGTTGCAGTGAGCTGAGATTGTGCCACTAAACTCCAGCCTGGGTGACAGAGTGAGACTGCATCTCAAAACAACAAAAACGAAAACAAAAAACAAACTTGGCCCTTTATTCTCTTGTGTGGAGCCCCACGCAGTTCCTGTAAACCTCTCCTGGTGCTTCTGTCAGGTCTTTCAGGAACAGTGATTGAAAGCATACTCTGCCCCAGGAACTGTTATAGGATGCAAAAACAAATAAACCTGTCCCTGTGTCCCTTCTCAGAAGGAGAGAGGTTTTGTTGAGCCCTGCAGAAATGGAGGCTAGTAGAATAAAAGGAAATGTTTTTAACGTGTGTCTGAAAGGCTTGCGTTCTGCTGTAGACTATTGTGTCCGTCTATCCCTGGAAGCAGTGCTTCCCTCACAAGTGTTCAGTGAATGGTACTGGGCATGTACACGGGGGCGTGGCAGTGAGTAAGGAGGCATCGAGGAGACAAGGCTTCTGCCCTCAGACACGGCGGGAGAGACCTCGGGTCAGCAGGATGAGAGGAGAGGCGTCAGTGCTGTAAAGAGAGCGGTCAGGGTGAAACATGAGGGAGTGCTGGCGAGGGTCAGGATGTTGCCTTTGGATAGGATGGCCAGGAAAGGCCTCTAGCAGGGCGGTGATATTTGAGCTAAAGCCTAGGAAGAGCTGCTAGAACAGTCCAGGCGCAGGGAACAGCATATGCCAAGACCTCAACTGGGCCAGGCTTAGATGTTTAAGCTAGAAGGGACTAGGGCACTGGCTGCTGTGGGAGTCCTGGGGAGCAGTGGGGAGGCTGCCTCGGGAGTCCAGGGGAGCAGCAGGGAGGAGGCTGCCTTGGCAGTCCAGGGGAGTGGTGGGGAGGAAGCTGCTGCAGAAGTCCAGGGAAGCAGCGGGGAGGCTGCCGTGGGAGTCCAGGGAAACCATTGACTGAGATGGAGTCTGGGAAAGACTGGGCCAGAGGTCAGGACATGAGGAGCTCTGCTGTGGACATAGGGAATTTGACAGGCCTGTCAAGTGGCCACATGGGAGTCACCAAAGAGAGTCTGTGGACAGGTCTGGAGCCCGAGGAAGAAGTCTTGGCCAGAGGGGAAAATGAGGTCACCAGATACAGATGACATTGACACCTTGACATTGGATGAATCCGTGCAGGGAATACCTATTCATTCAGCGCTGGAGCTTTGCACTGAGCCTCTGCGCTGCTCCAGGTACTACTCCTCATCTGGGGACAGATGTGAACCAGGCAGAACAGATCTCTAGTCTTGGGGAGCTGCGTGCAGAATGGTGAACAGATAAACATGTCAGAGGGTGCAGAGCCAGAGACGGGGGAGCAGGGGACACCAGTGTCCCTTTAATAGGATGGCAGGGAAGCCTCTTTTGAGATATCCTGGGCTGATTCCTGAAGCAAGAAGGCAACTAGTGGGAGAAACCTTTGGACAGAAGCCCTGGAGGCAGAGGGTCCTGCGCATTGAGGATCTGAGCAGCCAGGCCGGCTCTGTGGAGCAGGGAGCAGGGAGCCACTCCCATCAGCTTTGTGGGCCCTGTCCGGGGGGCTTTCAGTCCAGTGCTGTGGCCAGTCACAGAGGGCTGTGGCCAAACTGGGGAGGTCACTCTGGCTGCTGTTTGGAATATACGGGAGAGGGCAGGTGTGGCAGCTCAGCAGGGCCAGCAAGAGCTCTGGGTGATCCAGGTGGGAGACGGCAGGGTCGGGCAGGATAGGTGGAGCACTGCTTCCAAGGCACGGCTGACAGATTTGCTGCCACGTTGGTTCTGGGATGCGAGAGGGATGAGCTGGAGATGATTCATAGGTCTGTGGTCTATGCAGCCGGCTGAGTGGACATGCCGTGGATGGACGCTGAGACACCTGAAGGTACGGGGAGGAGGAGGAGATGACACAGCCTGCTGTGGACCCCCATGTCCTGTCCCTGCAGTGGAGAGCTGGCCTGGGAGGTGGGTGGCGGGTGTGCCTCTCAGGGAGCTGTGCATGTAGCCGCTGGCGTATGACAGGAGCTCGCCTAGGGAGATGTGGGGAGGCCTCGTGTTCTAGAAGAGGAAACGGCATCAGGAGAGAACTGGAGTTGGGGGGTCAGAGGAGTTGGAGGCCACATGAAGGGATATAGCAGCTGCTTCGAGACCCAGGGCTGGGGTCACTTGAGTCTGTAGCACAGAGGCCCTGCACAACCCTCCTCATCTGCAGGGCCAAGGGATTGCAAGGGCTGAAAGAGGAGTGGACAGTGAGTACGGACAGCTTTTGGGAGGAGTGTTTTTGTAGAAGAGAACAAAGAGAGATAGTTGGGCCGAGGGGACTGTGTGTCCTGGTGGGAGTTTTGGGAGAGGGACCGTGTGGTAGCACGTTGGTGTGTGACGCGGGTGCCTATGGAGGGAATGCAGTGCTGGTGGGGACAGAGTGCAGGCAGTGGCCTCAGTTGGGCTCTCTCAGGGCAGCAGTGTAGGGGTTGACCAGAAACGGGCCAGAGACGTTATTCCGGAAGAAGGCAGGGCACTGAGCACAGGAGAGGCGCAGGCAGGTTGGGAGGCTCCGGCAGAACGAGGGGTCCTCTTCCCGTCAAGTCTGTGAACCTCTTCAGACCGGA